AATCAGAGTGTAACATCAGCTCAGTTAAACTTCTGGGATCTGATCAGTTAAGTATCAGAGAGCGTTGTTAATCAGTTTCAGCTGCTCTGGTGTTAATGAAATGAACAACATGTGCGCTAGTGGGGCAACAATGAAACAACCCCTAAAACAGAAATGTTTTCACAGGTGGTGGCCACTTTATTCCAGTAGAAAAACCCAATAGACTCCTCTGGGGCATTCTGTCTCGGTCCATCTGACACAAACAGGTTCTAACTGAAACTGTCCAGGAGCTTTGTGATGCTGTGGTCCAGATCTGGGTGGAGATCCCCCAGGACACCATCCGTCATCTCTTTAGAAGCATGTCCCAGTGTTGTCAGGCATGCATACAAGCACTTGCAAACTACTGAGTACTATTTCGAGTTTCTGTAATGAAATTTCAGCAAAGTGGACTAGCCTGCCGCATCGTTTTTTCATTTTAATTTTCAGGGTGTCTTTGAATAAGATCATTTTCATTTTTTGTCAAACAATGTGGCATCTTTTCATACTGAAAACGTTACCCAGTCCATATCCGGATAGATATCAGCAGGATCATTCAAAGTGTTTCTGCTTTGACCTGGTGACCGACCGGACAGCTTTCCATATGACTGATTACAACCTGGGCTGTTTCATGCATGTGCAACACATGTGTAGGGAAATAGTCTTATATACACTCACAGCCACACACCAGTTGTTAGCTTGGAAAATCCTCACTGTGAATGAAGTTTGCAAAAGTAAAAAGGTAATAAGGACTTAGTATGTGAAAACTAAAAACATAATATACTGTTTTATTATAATTTACTATGGTGCTGCAAAAAATAATGCTTGATCAAAACGAATGTTGGTGCCAATCTTTGACCCATCTAAAGGCCTAATTATAATAAAAGTCAAATATTACTTCAAATGTATTTTATGGAAAATATTTAAGTTTTAATTTTTTTTTGGCTAAAAAAACAGTGGACTCATGTAAAGAAACTGGGATTTAAAGCGTTAAAAACCCCGAAATATAATAAAAACTTGATATGAATATTTTAGGCAGGAGTAGTTTTAAAAGACTGACTAATTTAAAGTGGAAAAAAATATGAATATATAATATTTTTATAGCACTTTTTGGGCCGGGACCTTCTGTGGGGAACCACAACAAAAATGCTTGTTACAGCAAAATGAATCAGACATTTAAATCGCTATCGCCCTGCTGAATATGTATGTGTAAAATATGTAAAGAAGCTAACAGTGTCACAGTGGCTAAAGCTAAAGCTATCCAGAGCTCAGAACTAGACACAAGCCAGCATCCTCGGTATGAGCCTCTGTTGGAGCTAAACATCAAATAAGTTCCTGGAAAATAGTTTGAAGAAGTGTCACATGAACAATCAGAATCAGTCAGAATACTTTAATAATCCCTTTATGTTAATTATGTGGGTTACAGTTGCTCCAAGACAATAACAGTAACAGACTAAACGAATTAAATAATACAATAAGTTTACAAAATATGAGAAATAGCTCCAATATACTTACAACTAGCTCAATTTAGATGTCAAGAATATTACAGAGGTAAAATATCTATGACTGACATTTAACCCCACCTGATGACGGGAGAAAATGGCCAATGTCCCGTCATCAGGTGGGGTTAAAAATATGATGGAAAATGATGTACGTACCTGACATTTGTTTTGCTATCTAAATGTTTTGCACCGTCTTTTGTCTGGTGAGGTAAAATATGTAAGGTAAAGATGTGTGCACAGCACAGATGTGTTCAGACTTACTGCAATTTGGTATGAAATTGTAAAGACATTGTGAAGTTTATGAACTTCGTGACAACTGGGATAGGCTCCACCTCCTTTGTTTGTGTACTCTGTCAGTCATAGGTCTTAAAAGGAAAACTAGAATTAGCAAAGAAAAGGGAAATGAGCAAATGCATTTGCACTGCACGTGCTTTTTATTGACCTTAGTTAAAAGACAAATCTGTTGAAAGGCAAGCGAGGTGCACAGTAAAGTGCGCAACACGGTAAAACGTTTGCCTGCTGCTGCCGTGACATTTTCACAGTCTGCCTTCTGCTTCCTGGGGGTTCAAAGTAACTGACTTGTCAACAGTAATATTTTTGAATGGATGCACATCTACAGCTTTACATGGTAACTGCGCTGGTGCTGACTCTGCTGTTGATTCATGCTTAGCCGCAAATGTTGTTAATGCATAACCAGGGTTTTCATTTCAATCATGTAGAGCCATTTATTATTTGCCAGGTTGGCCGTAGTCTTCCACCGAGGCATCCTCTGAGTCTGAGAAGTTGAAGAGTCAACTCTTTAGTGATCAACTTTCTGTCACTTGTAATTGCATCGGCCTAGGGTGATGAATACTGCACGCAGCCTCAACTGAACTCTGCTTCAGTAATGTAGTGTGAGCAGGGTTTCCCTGAAGCATCTTAAATCTTAAACCCTATTTAGTCAGGCAAAGTGCCTGAGGAAACACATTCTTATTTACTGTACAACACATGCACTGAAGGAGGGATTGCATTAGGAGTACTTGCCAGATGTATGGTTCTTGGCTGCTGAGCAACTTTGAACCAGTTTGAAGTGCCTTACTTAATGGTGCATTGGCAGCGGCGTGTGAGAGGATGGGGATTACTGTTTTCTCATTTCATCCATCTAGATTTATCCCAGCTGAAAGCTGATGTCTTACAGTCACAAGCTCACCTGTCTATCCTTCAGGTTCTTGGAACAATGTAAGGAGCACTAAGCCAAACCTCAGTCCTTTAATGAGCAAATATATAATGATATTTCTAATGCTTTTTAACCTTTTAAGACTTAAGCACAGTTGGGTACTGTTAATAAATGTAAACCTGCTTCTGAGCCTAATCAAAAGCATAAACGTTTTTTGACCAACTTACGAGAAGTAAAACACGAGAATTCAAATGAAGTAAATTTAGATTATGGTTTAGAAACAAAGTAAGCCCTACAGCTGAGATTGATCAACCACATAAAACCTGAACTCCTGGCTCAAAACATACAACATGAAACAACAATCCATTACGTTATAATAATAAAAAAAGAAAAACACTCTGAAAGCATGGCCTGTGCGTGATGAAAAAAAAA